CAGACACCGTCAGCCTTGTGAAGGGCTGAGGATAGCGGGGATACCCCTCCCAGGGACCCCCTCCACCAGTATCGCCTGCCTCAGGGCGCAGCATCATTGGTCTGCAGCTGAATTAAAGTTTCAGAAAGTTTTGCTACCTCTTCACTCAAGACTGCAAGTGCACAAAGAATTATGGAAGGGATGGTTGATAGATGAAAAAAACACATTCAAAACTACTTACTGACTAATGATGCAGAAAATGTTATGAATAAGTATCCCTTTCTTGATTTATTACTTTAATTATCTGACATTCTATAGACACCCATTAGTGGGGGTTTTTTGGTTTAGATTTCAATTTTCTGTCTCATGGTGAAAGCTATTTATCATAATAATCAGTAAAATTCAAAACCTTTTAGCAGTATTTATAAAATTCATTTACTATGTTCAGCCCTTGGAGAATGACAAAGAAGGCGCATTAGCACGTGTGCTGAAGTGTTTTATGCAGAATTATCTGTCCATAAGAATGATTAAAAGTTCTTTAGAATATTTGTAATCCATTATGCTATTTTTTTATATTAAAAAAAAAAGTTTTCCTTACCTATGCTGTGACTGGAGGCTGGGACCTGCTGATTGGGTGGCTGCTGCACCTTCGTCCGTATGATCCTGTATGTAGTTGAAAAGAAATGACTACTTAGCATTAAGCATGCAATTGCAGGGGGCATCAGACACTATTTTTTCAGTTCAGGACACTTACATGAATACAAAAATGCTTTTCTGCATATTATCCCCTCGTCATCCACTGAAAGACTGATGGCGGGTGGACCCAGGACCATGTTTTTGCCTCTAGCCCCTGCCATTAGGGACATTTGGGTGACTGACTCCTACACGGTCCTTGGGATGCTGCAGAGTTTGGTGCTTCGGTGCCTTTGAGGACCTAGTCCTCACCGCCCAAGAAAGAGATATCCATTGCTATTTGGGCACCCGTTGGGCCCAGCACCCCCTCCTCAGGGAGCTGGACGCTTCTGGGTCCAGATGTCCCAGCAGGCTGTGATCTGCACCTTTGGGTGCTGGGACACATTTGCAAGGCTGTCCCTAGACTGCCCCGGGTACCGCACTCACAAAGCTAAAGAACTTGGATACCTTGGAAAAGGACCTGCTTAGCCAAATGAATACTAAAACAAAGATGTGTTGTCTTAAATGCTAGTCTTAAAAGCTGGATAACTACACTGTCATTGCTGGGGACAGCCTCTGCTCCGATTTATAATCATGTCAATCAGGAAAATTGTCAATATATGTCAATTCAGAGATGCAGAAAAACTAGAAGGCATGTGCTGTGTTGCAGGACAGAGGGCAGCTGCTAAGAACTGGGGAGGTGCTTTACCAAGTGCTCAACTGCCAATGCACTGTGAAAAAAGAAAAGACGGGGTCTGAAACGCCTCCAGAGATAACACAGTTCTGCCACTGACTGCAGCGGAATCGGAACAGGCTTGAAGGAGGCTCACTCACCGCACATCTCCCTGCCTGATGCACTCTTTACGCAGCGGTAATGCTGCGGTAAGCACTTCTCCTCTCCTTACCTAACAAACTCTTCTCCTATTTCTGCCTGCTGTGAATTTGGAAGCGGGGAGAGGAGGGGAGGCATGAGACAGAGCTGGCATGGGGATGCATTCTCGGGAAGAAACAGCAGTTGCTTGCTTGAAAGTCACCCCGTGAGCCAGTACAAGAACCACCACTGGTGACGCCTGGCCCCATCCCAAAGAGGACATGCTGCTGTCCCCTTCCCCTCCTGCCCCTCTGCGGAGTCTGATGGAGGCTGGCGGGGGCTAGGTCTATTAGTAAGCCAGCTGCCAGCCCCAGAGCGAAGCTGCTGGGTGTTAGACATCTCCTGTGGCTGGGTCCCTGGCAGCAAATTCCCCTGCCAGGGGCCAGAGCAGCCAGCCCGGCGTGGAAATCAGAGGGAGCTGTGCAAGCAGCTTCGGTGGGGGACTGTGCAGCCGAAGACCTGGGACTCTGCGTGAGCCAGAATGGAAGTAACCCCCTGCACATAACCTCCTCGCTGTTGTGGCAAGGGAAGGGTGTCCGGGGCCTTTTGACACATAAACATCTTCATCTCCAGAGGGACGGAGGACTGGAGCACTTTGAAGCAGCTGGGCAGCTCTCAGCTTATTTGAGCAAAACTAATCGCAATGATTAATTAAGCCTTAATCACACAGAGTTACTCCTGCTGCGGAAGAGTGGCCTATTATTAATATTAATTAATGTTATTAATTAATAATAATAGTTATTATTCACTCATATACAAGGGCAGCAGCTCAAATTCATCTGCTAAAAGGCACCCTCGGCAGCGGGGATGTGCCGAGTACAGTCCCTCCCAGCAGCCCCACCATTCCCCAAGAGCAGCGACAGCTCCCCTGAAGGGAACAGCACAGCCCCGGGGGATCCCCTCTCTCCACCGGGGAGGCAGGGACGGGAGGAACAGCGTGGCAGCTCCGTCCTCCCCTGTGCAGGAACGCCAACTGCTCAGCTTCACCCTCCCTGCAGCAGGACGGGAACCACACTGCGATTTTGGATGGGCTCAGGTCTGTGGCGACAGGGCAGCACCTGATTTGTACCTCAGCGGTGAATAAGGCCATCATGAGCAGGTGTCTGCATCCTTGGTGTGTAACATCCCTACCAGCAAAGCCTTGAAGTATATGCTTAATTTTAAATATGAGGATAAAACCCACAGACTGCAATGTGGAACTGGGAGGATTTAGCATTAAAGCCAAGTGTTTTGATGTGAATTCCACGTTTCTTGTCATGATAGTTTGGTCTGGGTTTTCAGGATATGCTCCTAGGCTGGCAAAAACAATTCTCTGGGTAAACAGACTGTCTCAAAAAGATTGTGTGCATTTCTAAAAAGGGATTTCACACCTTCGAGAAAAGGAAAAGATCTTAGCCACAGTTGCAAGCAGGTGAGAAAGAATGAGATTTCCAGCCAAAAAACTTGGTGGCGGATCATGAAATTGCATCAGGGTTTCTGATGCAATGGCAGTGGATGTGTGGACATTATCAGTGTGGAAACACACAAGGACACAGCAAGAGGTAGAATATGGAAACTGGCTCGAAACATGACTGGAAACTACTTAATCTCTCTTTTTCCTAGAGCTATGACTGCCTTTTTGGTAGTTTTTTGGAGGATGCTTGAAGCCCTACTACACAAACACAGGACTGCTCACAGCAGCGATGCTTCTCACGTGGCAAGGCTCGAGTTGACTTTTACAAAAGTAGAGCTTGCCCTTAGTTATTTGAGGTCAGTCAGAGTGATATTTTCCTTCCGTTTTCCTGGTGTCTATATTATTTCTCAAATCCTTTTTAAAAAAGAAAATGCCATGTCCATAGGGTTACTGAATGCTGCTCTGGAGCCTCAGTGAGTCAGGAGCTCCCAGGCAGCAGCAAAGGCTGCACGTGAACTGACCCATTTTTGCTCTTAAACACGTGAACGTATGACTTAACGTTCAGTTCGGCAAGGCAGACACCACTCTCCACTAATGCTGGGGAAACCACTCCGGCTACTCAAGCGGCAACTCCATGAATGCAAATCAGGTTGGGATAGCCAATAAAAGAATATTGCATCAATTTATTTCACATCCATGGACACAGATGGGACTTTATAGCTAGCTGCATTCGAAGAATTTGCATGCAGTCGCACAAGTGAAAACCATCTCACCAGCGTGGTGAGGTTGAAGCCCGGCACAGAGCATACTCCTGAGCAAAAATGAAAGGACTCTGCTTGCCAGGAGTGTGGGTGTGCATGAGGCTGCCCAAGCGCTCTGCCTTCCAAGTATTAATCCCTTATTATCAGTCTGGCAGGGCTGGAGACATAACAGAGTATTTCACTGGTTTTTTTCAACACCAGCTTTAGACATACTTTGACTCAGAAGGAAGCGGGTGAGTACAGTAGGTGTAACTGAGATGGCAGTAGGTTAGTATAGCTCCAGACCGCTCTGCAACCCCAGTCCTGCCCAGCAAGGTTGGGGCAAAACTCCCAAATGCGGGACTGAGGCTCCAAATGAGATTCTCCTGCATTTTTACAAAAGCAATTCAAGGCCACTTAAGTGCATCCCTGTAACAAGCAGATGGCTGAGGCACTCGAAAGCTACTGACCAAATTCACCCGATGATATTCATGCTGATGACAGCAGTCAGCAGCCAGCATGGTTCTGGGCCAACTTCAGCAAGACCAAGCAGGTGTCAGGAGGACAGAAGTGGTACCTTAGACCCGTGCCTTGGGTCCCCTCCTCCAGGCACCCGGGCCCCCCCTTTTCCCAGATGACTGCTGCCCCACTCGACGGCCATCTGAGCCTTCCCCCCTAGGGAAGCACGTCCCACTGAACACCCACCCTGTCGAGCAGAACTGAGGCCTCATTCAGAGCAAAAACACAGGATTGTTACCAGCGAGGACTGCAACTCAAACACTGGGGAAAGCACCAAAGCAAAAGGAAGCAAGGGCCAGCAGGAGAACCTGCCCGCTCCTAGGAAACACTCATAATCTGTGATGCTTTGGCCCACAGCCGCTCGCCGGCCCCAAACGCATCATGGAAACACATGCAAGCTGCATTTCTTGCAAACAGCCCAAAACACCCAGTCCTACTAACAAATGAGGATTCAGTGACAGCACTTCCGAGAAGCGTCCCTCCCCAGGACCAGGCAGATCTTTACCTGTTAATTGAACTGACGCTGGGCACGGTGTCGTTGTCACATACTCGCTCAGCAAGGAGTCTATCCCTGATCTCCCAGGCAAACATGGTGGGATTTTGGCGTTTGTACTCTGCAATTTTTTCAACGACTTTGGGTGTGGCGACCTTTGGTTTTGATCCTCCAATCACTCCAGGCTTAATACTCCCAGTTTCGTAATACCTGGGACAACATCCAAAACAAAGCTTTAGTTATCACAAATAGACAGAACATGCTTTGAGATTTATAGAGAACATAATTTCAAGGTAACCAAACCCCAGCAAATCCTGAAATACATCTTCACTTTCACATACACATTTTCTGCCTATGTCGTGCTTTATCACCTAATAGATTAACTTATAGTAATTGGAATTGGGCCTCGGGATACAATATATATTTTTCTGTAATAGCAAGACAAAAGAAACAATGCAAGATTAAAGGGCATGCCGGGATCCAAAATTAACTGAAAATGTGTGTTATTAATCAGCGGTACTGGCAATAATAGAAACAAATCACACCAAAGACCACTTTTTGCGGTGGACTCTTTTGTAGTAAATTACTGTTTCTACAGAAATTCTCTGTCATTAATATCTACGGCTTGTTATCATTTCATACTGAAATGAAGGCTAGATATTGTATTTTATTTGCACCTCCGGAATAAATATGCCAGCATATCCTTTTCCCATTTTATGGTTTTAATATGCATATTATGGTTTTAATAGTTAATATTTTTCAATATGTATTCTTTTTAACATTATGTTTTTAGTAGTTTCAACCACGAATTTCAAGGAAAAGGGAGCTGCCCACGCTCTGGAGGGGTCCAGCTGATGTGGGGGTTGGTTTCTGTGACCAGTCCTATGGCCCTTCCTCAGGTACCGCATCTTCACCCACAGCGGCAACTCTGCTGATGCCACGCCGGGAAAGGGGGAGGACTGGATCCCTAAACCAACAGAATCTGCCAGATTTCTTCACGTGTAAATTACACAAGAGCAACTGCTTTTGGTAGCATTGCAACAATACATCACAGCTAAGATCCCCAGCCCCACAAGTTTCCCCTTTTAATAAACAAAGCCCTGAATGTGCTGCTAAGAGCAGAAGTCATATCTTAGCCATCGAGGGCCGGAACGGAGACCAAGAATGAGATCGTGCTCCTCTGTGCTGTGCTGTCAGGGAGCACAATGCACGAGGCACTCTCCCAGCCATGCACTTCTTTGTATCTTGTGAATTTTCTCATGACCAGATGAAAAATAAACCCTGTGCCTACCTGCAATAACTGCCCCAACTGCCCTGATCTGGCATGTCCTTTCTGTACGGAGCAGACCTCGACTTCGTGAGCCTTTCAACCAGACGCCCACCGAGCTGCATGCTCTTAGGAGCTTAAACACATCCACCCAGTGCTCTGTGCCTCTATTTCTAATAGGGAGCTCAGAAAAGACTCCCAGGTAAGAATGTAAGACTACTTACTAATATATTTTCTCTGCAGCTACTTGACATACCCATTATATGAAAAAAAAAAATTAATTCCCCAATCTTTCCAGCGAGAGCAGAGCACAAACAGGCTGCGCAGCCAAAGTCTGTCTCACTGTAACACACAACCATGTTCATCAAATTTCTGCCAGGCTACTGGTTTTCAGTCTTTCTGGTAGAGCTCTGTGTGCAGGGCCTAAAATTCCTTTAAAGAGACTAACACCGTGTTGTTTGTACATGCTTTCAGATATTCTGGATGCAGATGTGGACTCAGATCTACCAGTCTCCATGAGCCATTTCAGCAATATTAGTAATGGAAAGCAAGTGTCAGAGGTGGATTAACCCTCCTGTAGTCCCTAAACACAGCCTAGTAGCGAGCTTTAGGGCAGGGGGGTAAAATTCAGCTCCTCCCATGCTTCCCAAGGACATGACAAAAGGATGGCAAACTTGAACCACAAACCAAGACCTTGCACCCCTGGCCTCAAAACCTTCACTGCTGGCACCTCTCCTGTGAGGAGGGTGTGGAAGGAAGCCAGACAATACCATGAATGCTACCAAACAAACAGTCATAGCTTTCCTACTTCCAGTCAAAACCATGGATTTTACAAACGTTCCTTAGTGTTTTTCTCTAACAGTGCCTTGCTGCACCGTGACATGGTGCCTGTCAACTACCCCACGACACAGGACAGCCCAGCTGAGCAGACCGTCAGCCAGCAGCTCAGGAAGCTGTGGCTCCGCAGACAAGACGGTGTTTCCCACAGCGACTCCACCACAGTAGGTAACCCGTGATGGCAAAGGCCCTCGCTGCTACGACGCTGTGGCAGTGGCGAGCTCACTGGGGGACAAAGCCCTGGTGCCCTCTGGACAGCAAGACCTCCACTGCCAAATCCTCTAACCACTGCCTACCCACCCGCTCACACCACCTCAAGCCTGCAAAGGTATGCACACATCAACGGAAAGAGTTGCCTCGCACAGGAGGGTGTAGGATTGCGCCCAGACCCTTTTCCCCGGGGCAGCCAGGAGAGCTTGCTGCGACAGGGGACAGCTCTCACCCAACGACACCGCTGACACCTCCTTCCTCTTCGCCCTAGCAATGAACCTGAGCGCAGCAATGAGCCTGCAGGCTGGACAGCATGGGCATCCCTGACCCCCGTCTCCATTTTAAAGGCAAGGACGGATGCAGTTGGCTTCATTTTATGCATGTCAGGTCTGGGACCTTTGCTCCCAGCAACTTGCCAATGCAGGTGAAGAGTGGGCACCCCTGCAGTGCCCTCCTCGAGGGGTGAGAGTTGCACTTGCACTGAACTGCTGGTTCCCTGCCTCTGGATGTTTTTTAAGTCTGTATCGAGGACTGAAAAATTCCAACATAAAAATCAAAATGTAAGGATTTATCATAAGGATTCCCATTTTGCACGCACGTGCAAAAACACACACACAGAGCTGCAATTACAGTGACATTTTACCCACTGTAATTATTATTTATGAAAATAATGAGCTATGAAATTCCAATTTATTGTTGACAACTTTAATGACAAAGCTCTGGAGCCTCGCTCTTAGCTCTATAGTGCAAATATATCTAATGGTAAATCTATTCAAACTACCAAAGGTAAAACCATCAGACATTTGCCTAGTAGGTAAATAAATTGCCCCTTTCTTAGCTGTACATTAGTCCTGATGGGAATTGGTCGCAAGTCTGCTGCAGCGGAGAGCATCACCAGCCGAACCGCGCCAGCCAGACTGGGAGCAGGAGCCTGTGCTGACAACGGATGCAAAGTGATAACCGAGTGAAACAGGCCGTGATGGGCAGGCAGAATCTTTATTCTCAGATAAAGCCCATGGAAAGTTTTCCTCTCTAAAATAGTAAAGGCGTCACTGTCCTCAAACCCACACCGGGAGGAATGCGTGTAGCTTGCAGGGGAAGGCATCCCCCTGCAATGAAGGCATGAGTGAAAAAGCAGGGATGCTGAGCATAACCTGCATGCTGGCTCATGCAGCTCTCTAAAAGCACGCCGTGCGGGGCTGTGGAGATGGTGTTCGCCAGTTAAGGCGAGTAAGGGGGGGGGCTATGGGGAAAAGAATGCCAAGAGCTACAAAACCAGGGGCCTGTCACTTTGCCGGGTCAGTCTGATTCTGAACGCTTAAATGGCTACTGAGAGATCGTAAATGCTGCTAATCCAAGCAGATCCCCTGCATGTTACTACAAAAAAAATTGTCTTAACAGTCTTCGCAGCTATGCTATGTCCAGGAAAGCAAATTGGTTAAAAATTGGAAAAGAAAAAAATGGTAAAGATAAAAATAGTAAGAGTAAAATTCTGAACAATGAAGTTAACTGTGAAAGTTTAGTAAATAGTTCAGGAATTAACTTTTCCAGATTAGCAAGAAAAACATATTCTCACCAAAAAAAATTATTTCCTTAATATAAATTGCTCAAGTATCTCAGAGCACCTGGAGTCCAAAACCATTTTAATAGTATAATTTACACAAATTATGTTCAGATTTGTTCACAAGATACAAAGAAGCAAGGATGGTATTTTTTACCTGAATCTATGTCAAATTTTAAAATGAAATCAGGAAATTATATGAATTTGGAGTTTAATTTCCTGTTGCCATAGTGGTTCAAGCAGCTCCAGCCTGAACAGAGGGCTACTCCCAAAATAGCCAAAATTAAGATGGTTATTAGTTACTTACGGTATTATGTGCTCTAATTAAGAACATATTCCAGCTCATGAATAGAAAAAGACATTGAATTAAACAGTGGGACAGACTGCAAAACACCCTTTGTGAATGAACACACGGCAGTGTTGATGATATATATCATATATAATTACATTATTGCTAAAAGAGAGTCTTCTTCAGAAAGCAAAATGAGTAACTTGCACAACTTCTATTTTTTTTCCATTTTACTGAAGAGGACCCCCAGATTTCTCTACTTGTTCAGAACAGACAGTTGCGGGATATATGCCATGTATACAGCAAATACACCCCACATGGCATTCTGCACTTTGTGTTACAATTACCCATAAGAAACTGTGAAAGGGGCAAACCAGAGATACGAATAGTGGCACCTTTTTCCCACATCAGGCATATAAAACCATGACTGGTCAGGAAGCCCCTCTCCTCACTGGACTGATTTCCTGAGTTTTCTACTATTCTCCATTTGTTTGCAGCCTTCAATTAAGGGACCAGCATTGACACTTTTCTCTTGACGGACACAGAAGGATTCGTTGTCCCCCTTTACCTGCCAAGTATTTTGCTGACGCAGCCATGGCTGACGCGCAGCTGCCGGGAGATGTCACACGGCCGGACCCCTTGGTGGGCGAGCTCCACGATCCTTTGGCGAACGACATCTGGGAGGGGGCGGCCGTTCACAAAAACACCCCCCAGCTGATTCACGCCTCCATGTCCTGAAACACACAGGGGAGGGGGAGAAGGGCAGGAGAAGAAGATCTGTGTGAGAATTTTGGACGTTTCTGCAGGGCAGACCCCCCAGCCCAGTGCTCCCCGCTGCTGGGCATTGCCTCCCCAGCATCAGTCCAGCCTCCAGCTGCTTTTCCCCGGGCACTGCGGGACCCGCAGCACGGAGGCAGTCACGGCCACGCTGCCTGCACTGCCGCAATGCCACTCGCTGGAGGGGAGGACCTTCCTACACGGAGGCAGATCAGGCCCCATGTTGGGAAACGGCCACAGGAAACCATGCAGTGATGCCCAGCTGCCTGGACGCAGGCCACCCTCCTCCCGAAGCCAGCGGCCGCTGTCGCCCGACTGCAAACTCCGGGGGCAGGCCTGGTGCTGCCCTGTGAAGAGGGTGCTCGTGAGCCTCTGCTGAGGAAGCCAACTGAAAATAGGGCTGGGTGATTGCTCAGCCTACACACTATTTGTGTCTAAGCACAGAAGGGGATACCTGAAATTAAATGTGTTGGGTTTTTTTTCCCAAATGCCTTGACTTAATCAAGAGCAAAAAAAAACAGAGCATGATTTCTGCTCTTAAAATTTACAGCAGTCTTGGCAGATATTATGATCCCACAAATGAAACATGAACACTCAAGCAAGCCCCGTATATTACTCCTTTTCTAGCAAATTTGCACTGTTCACTTTTAGCAAGGTGAATCATGTATCTGGTGGGAAACGGAACTCACTTGGATGAATAGTAGTGAAACTGTGTAAAACCCATGAACATGTAATGATCCCATGTATCAAGTGAGGAAATATAATTAACCCTCATGTTGTTAATCATCCAAACTACTTAGATTACAGAGGAATGGAGAAACTGAAAACAAGCAATAGGGGCAGCACGGATGCCAATTCTGAAACAAAAATAATACAGAAAATCTCTCTATTTGCACAGGGCTTGAACGGTACTGAGCTGACAAGCTAAATGCCTCAGTGTTTAAAAAAGAAAAAAAGATTATATAGAGCTATTTTATTTAAATCTGGTCATTTCACCATTGATAAACTGCTGTCAAACTTTGCGAACACCTTCTAAAGCTGTCAGGACACAATGAATCCACATGAAATACATGATTGCTAAAGCCGGCTGCGGTGAGCAGACAAGTATCTGCTCTGCCTTCATCGGTGCGAGAGGCAGACCTCTGCCAGCGGCCGAGCTGGCCTCAGGCTCGCCTGTCCCACCTGCAGCCCCGGAGTGCGGGGAGCAGACCCCGGGCGTTGGGGCTGCCTTCAGCTGCCCCTGCCCAGGGAGCTGCCAGCAGCGCCAGGGACGCGCTGGGGCTGGGATGATGCTGTGGCCAGAGCAGGGACAACTCGATGGCTCAGGCGTACAGGAGCAACCCCGCAACGCTGCGGCTAACGAGACCTCAGGCTTCTCACCTATTAGCGGCTTTAATTGTACAAAATCACGCACAGTGCCTTCAACATGAACAGCAAGATCCTGCGACGGTGGTCGGGGAAAGGGAGAGGGAAGGGGGAAGGGGAGGGGAGAGGAAGGGAAGGGAAGGGAAGGGAAGGGAAGGGAA